CATAAGTATTATACACATAATAATGCACATTTATGACAAAATTGATCTTATGCTCCAGAAGCTACAAAAATTAAACAGATTTCAGCTGCCATCCATTACAGAGAAGCCAAGAACATGGAGCCTGAGTTCAGTCAACAGCCTGGTAAACCTAAACAAAAAATGTGACCTGTGATAGTTTATTCTGTGTCAACTTGACAGGACCACACGGTGTCTGGCGATTCAGTGAACTGTGTTTCTGTGAGGATGCTTCAGCATGCGCTCACAATCTCAATCACTAGACTAAGTAGAACAGATATACCGTGCCGATGTAGTTAAACCTCACTTAAGAAAGAGGTAATTTTAGGTGGCCACGGGTGAAATGTAACAGCCTAAAAGTTTGTCTCCACAAACAAGAGAGCATTTCCCTCTTTAAAACACACATGCCTATTAACAGCAGTTAATTAACTGTGGAGGATGAACACGTGCAGATTTAGAAAACACGGAAAGCAAAGCAGAGAGTAGAGGAGGGAATGTGCATTTTGAGAACCGTAAGATCTACACATCACATAAAGTAGATCAACGTTCTTTCAAATGCCTACTTTCCACAGCAACATCTGAGGCCTGAACAGGAAGAGCAGGAGGAAAAGGAAGTAAAGCTTCCTGCCAAGACCTCCCTCCCCACAAGTCTCTGTCCTGAACAACTCGCTGTCCTGAACACTGGGGCTCGCAGCTCTGTGAGCAAACCTTCGTCTTAAAATGCAAAGTTCTAACAACTAAAAAGGAGTCTAGCTCAATGTTACAAAAACCAAAATAACAAGCTTTGAATGTAGTGCTCTGCACTTATCAGAAATAATACTAGGGGCTGGGGATACAGCTCAATGTCACAGCACCTACCTGGCAACTGCGAGGTTCTGAGTTCAATTTCCAGTACCAAAGAAAAAAAAAAAAAAAAAAGAAAAAATACTTTTCTGCTGCTGCTGCTGTTGCTGCTGCTGCTGAGTTAAAATTTGCATTTACTTAGAGTTCCCAACATAATACGTTTAGGAGCTAAGGTCATTTAACATCTCATACAATTCAAAATTGCTTTTGGGAAACTGACCTTAATTTCCTTTATTCCTTTCTTTGCTTTCAAAGTTTCTTCAACAGACTTTGTTTTCTCATTCTTCTTTACTGTTTCACTTACAAGCTTCTTTCCACTTGGTACAACTCCAAAGAATTTCCGAATGTCCTGAGAGCAAAAGATTCATAAACATTAACTACATAAAATCCTAATTTCAACTACAAAGCAGCCCAGCTTTTTCTACCCACTGTTTTACCCTGCGTAATTTCCCCATATCAAGAGCTCTATATTTGTAGCAGCATAAAAGCTACCTAAAAAAAAGTTGTTAAAAAATAATTTGACTAAAAGGCACTCAATGTTCTCCATGATACAGAGGAAAGGGAACCTTTGCGTACTGGTGGCGGGGATATATTGGTAAAGTCATTGTTAAGAACACAAAGATTCATAAAAATATTAAAAATAGAAATACCACATAATCCTGCAAGCCCACCTCTGGGTATGTACCCAAAAGAAATGAAATGAGCATTTTAAAGAAATATCTGTACACCTTATTTATTGAAGCTTTATTCACAATAGCCAAGATGTGGGAGCAACCTGAGTAAACTTACGTTCTCCATTGAAAAAAATAATAATAATTTGCCTAGTAAAAACCAGTATTCTCAGAATATGGAAAAAAAAAAAAAGCACAAAAATAAGCAAACCGAATTTCTGTTAATGACAGCATTGTTATAAAGAGGCAAGTTAGTCTTTACTGACCACAGAGGCACAAACAACCTGGCATCCCACACACACAGTGGGGACAAGACACAAAGCTGAAGAACATGACTCTTATCTATGGCATTTAGGCTTTAATAACTCATTCTTACTAATTAGGAGCCTTGAAATTATATTTTATTTTATCCCCAATTCCAAAGAAAAAAGCATGTGGTGCTTATTACAATGTGCTCTTTAGTGCGCTGTTATGCAGTACAAAGGACTGGACCCAAGGAGCACTGAGCTAGACAAACAAGAGCAGCTGCCACCCCTCACAGAAAGCCAAGAACTGGGAGCCCGAATTCAGTCAACAGCCTGATAACCCTAAATAAAAAATGTGACCTGTGACAGTTAATTCTATGTATCAACTCGAAGCCATTTTCTTATTTTATGTTAAGACAGGGTCTCACCAAAATACTCACACTAGCCTTCAATTTATAATCCTCCTATCTCAGCCTCTGGAATAACTGGGATTACAGATGTGGACCACCTTTTTTTTCTTTTTTAAAGGAGAAGTTTATTTGGCTTACAACGATACGTACTTCTAATCATTGATCATTGTACTTCTATGTCAAACCACAGAATTCAAATTAACCAGCCACCTCCTCTCAGGAGGCTGAGGCAGAAGGATCACTGTGAGGCTGGCTTGGCCTACATAGTAATTTCAAGGCCAGTCTAACTACAGAGTAAGACCCTGTCTCAAAACAAGAAAGATTTCAAATTAATCACATCTGGGTCAGGATATAGCTCAGCAACACAGCATCTGCCTGGCAAGCGCAAAGTCCTGAGTTTGATTTCTGGTACAAAAAAAAATTTCAAATTAACCATAGTGAAACTCTGCAATGTAATTTACAATTAAAATTACTCACTTTTCTTATCTCTTATCTTTGATATATGTCATATACATATATATTTACATACGTATATATACGCATATATATATTCTCCCCTACCTTTCTAGAATTTATGCTTGAAGAAACCCAATAAAAAAGGAACAAACCTAAGAATCAAGAACTCTTGGTGTGAATCTATATGGTTCTTTACAAAAAAAAGAATAAAAGGGCCAGGGAGATGGCTCAGTGGAATAAGCGCTTCCCTGGCAAGCGCAAGGGCCTGAGTTCAATTCCTGGTTCCACAAAAAAATAAAAAATTTTAAAAATTAAAAGGTTGCAAAAAAAAGAAACATCAGAAACGATACAGAATTTCACTAAACAATAGTTGAACCATGGTTGTCTTCAAATTAGTTGTACAGATTATCAAATACAAGCATGCAAAATTGGTCAGAAAGTTATAAAAAATTTAAAAGGAGGAAAAAAAATTAAGCATTAAGGGCTCCATTCAACAAACCAGCAGAAATCTGCAGTCCAGTTAACCAAGGGGCTGGGGAAATAACTCAGCAGCACCTGCCTGGCAAGCACAAGTCCCTGAGTTGGATCCGTGGAACTACAAAAAAAAAAATAAAAATACCAACTATCCAAGCTACCCTAAATAAATACATAAATGCATCTTTTTCTCTTTCTTCTTTTGTCCTTTTCCTCATCCTAGTTGTTCCTTCCCTTTGAGCAGATTCTTTCCCTCTCACAGTTATCTGTTAGACCTTTACTCTTTCACGTTCTTACACTAGCAAGACAATATAATGTTTATACATGCGGGTCTCATTCATTTCACTTATGAAAATGGTCTCTCTGGCCAAGCAGATAGCTCAGTGGATTAAAGCACCTGCTTAGGAAGATGCAGGGGCTGGGGGTTCAATGCCTGGACTACCGCACCAGCCCCACCCCCGGGGGCGCACTGAGATGGCAAATGAGACTGGGCATGGTGGCATATGTCTGTAATCCCAGTGATTGGGAGGCTGAAAACAGGAGAATCACTACGAGAAGTCCTTTTATATACCTTGAGTTGAGATGTGAAAAAGATACAGAAACAGGAGCTAGTCCTACATGTTGAGATTTGAACCTTATGTTATTTAGCCCAAAAAGGGAATGTAATTCCCACACATGCTACAATATGCATGAACCTTGAAAACACATTAAGTGAACTAAGCGAAGGAATGAACAAATATTGTAATAAGGCCCCTATTATGAAGTGCCTAGAATAGGCAAATTCATAGAGACCTAAAGAAAATCTCAGTTGTGAGAAGTTGGGGGAAAAGAAGGGAGAGACATTATTTAATGAGTACAGAATTTCTGTTTGGAATGTTAGGGTTCTAAAAATGAATGAAGGGCTGGGAATTTGGCTCAGCAGTAGAATGCTTGCCTAGCAAGCTGGAAGCCCTGGCTTCGGTCCTCAGCACCAAAAATAAATAAATAATTTTTTAAAAAATGAATGATGGTGAGGTTTGTAGAGCAAGGCAAAGTACTTAAAGTTACTCAATTATACACCTAAAAACGGTTAATTTTATGTTTTATGTGTATTCTACTTTGATAATACAATGGAGAAAACATAAAGTTAATATGTTACAAGCAAAAAAAAATAGACTTCCTTAGAGACTGGGGTATATGTATGCACTTGGTGGAGAGCCAAGCAAGAGTTGTATTCCCAGCACTTAAAAGATTCCCCTAGTTTTATAACCTCTTTTATAAATCTCCTAATATAAAAAAATTTAAAACTCACAATTTAACTCTACAACATACTGCTTAGAGAAAGGATACCTCAATAATGAAACTGAAACATTTGTTATCAGGTGCTAAAGAAAATAGCAATAAGGAAAACCATAGTCATCCTTGTTACTTACAAACAATTGAATTGGAGGCTGACAGCTATCTTATTGCTTCTGGAAGAAGTGAGAGTTTAATATCAGTTTCACTTTCTTAAAAATACCCTATAATAGCTCACTTAAGTAGGGGTGATCATTTAAACACACACACACACACACACACACACACACACACACACACACACACAGAAACAGGCAGGGAAAGACGAGGTATACCATGGAAACAGCAAAGTTCCAATGAAGAAGCTAACAAAGCAAGTAGTGGTTTTCAACCTGTTTTTGGACTACAAAAGCTCAGAACTGCAAAGATTTAAAAAAAAAAAAAAAATAGGGCTGGAGAGATACCTCGGCAGTCTCAGCACCTGCCTGACAAGCACAAGGACCCAGGTTCAATCCCAAGAACCACAGCTGAGCTGGCCCTACACCCCATGCCAGCCACTGAAACTGGGTGTGGTGACCCATGCCTCTAATCCCAGTACTGGGGAGGCTGAGACAGGCGGATCACTGTGAGTCCAAGCTGTTTAGTGAGACCCTGTGCCAAATAAATAAATAAATAAATATATAAAAATGATATGTAATTCAGGGAGTGCTAGGTTTTGCCTGTGCAAGAACTTGTGCTGTCTGTCATTCCTCAACATGCCACAGCCTTTCTCGCTAATCCTTTCTACTCATTTTGCCTGGCTTTTCCTTTCTCTTTACCTCCCTTTCCTAGACCCCAAACTCTGATAGCAGCAAAAACGTTAAAGAAATTACAGCATCCTGCCCTATGAATCCAGTTTTAGAGAACAATGTTCATCAGAATGAAAGTCATCAATGTCAGCAGCTATCTTGTATAAACATCTAAGAGACAAAGGTCAGCAATCTTGCTAATTTAGATACTGTGACTTCACCTTACTCTCTGCAATGAACACTCCCTGTCCAGTATCACAGGTTTTCCAAGAGTTGATGAAATCAGAATAAACCTAGTATACCACCAAATGATGGGTCTACATCCAGTGAGTAGAAAAAGAAAAAAATTTTTAAATTGGCTTTTTGTAACATTAGCAATTGGAAGGGTGTCTAAGCAGAATATCAGGCTACAAATCATAAAGTTTCCCCCCACCAGGGGAGGAATGTCAAAAAAAAATTGACTTCAGAAAATGAAACAAAAAATGTATAAACAAAGTAGAGATACAAAGGGCCAAAAAGATAGCTCAGTGGACTAAGTGCCTGCTTAGGCAAGCACAGGGACTGGGGTTTGATCCCTGGCACCGCAAGCCAAACCAGCCACCAAGCCTGGGCATGGCTGTAACCCCAGCACTAAGGAGACTGAAAACAAGAGGATCACTACAAGTCCAAGCTGCATAGTGAGAACCTTTTTTTAAATATATTTTTTAAAAAATCTCAAGAAAAGTTTAAAAGGATGATGTAGCTCATAGAAGGCCCTTGGGTCAACCCCCAGTACCACTGAAAATAATAATAAATGAATTTTTAAGATAATAAAAATTTAAAATACTGAATTTCAAAACAAGATGATAGGAAATCAACAACAGTTGTTATAGTGCATATTGTTATCTTCAAAGTACTTGTTCAGATTACCAGACATAAGCATGCAAAATTGGTCAAAAAAATTAAAAAAAAAAAAACCACTATCTGTTCCTTTCAACAAACAGAAATTAGTAGTACAATTAATTATCTTAGCTATCTTGTGAACATATAT